TGACATGAAATAGAGGAAACTAGACGCGTCTTTTGCCAATGAATAAATTGGGGGGGGGCGGCGGCAACAACCCCCCCCCCCCAAAAAAAAAAATGTTAAAAGATTAAGAAAATAATACCTGTGGGGGAGAGCTAAGGAACTGGGCATATTCAGTCAAAAGAATAGCTGAGGAGAGAGGAATCTGTCTGCGTGAATGTAAGAGATGCTATACTGAAGACATGAGCCAATTCTTTTCAGCCAGCAAGAACAGAGAAGTAGTAATGTGTATGAGACAAACAATGGGAAATTCAAGTTGACTATTTCCTGAAACCTGTAACATCTGAGCAGTAGGACAAGCCGCCAGCAAAAGCAGTAGAACTACCTCTTGTACAGAAGGAGCTTGCGTCTCTCTCTGGATTTTGCTGTTTTGTCCTCATTACCCCAATAAAAAAATAACACAAGGAGCAAACCAAAGCAAAGGAGAAGAGCTAACTAAACTGTAACTTCAACTGTTTCATACTAACTAAACTGTAACTGTACTGTTTCATACAAGAAAAAACGTATCCTGACTACCCATAAATGAATTTAGACTGGAATTTAGAATATTTCTAGACATTAAAGCCGTTTGTCTCTAGCTCACCATCCAACGTGGCAGCAGGGTGAGGTTCAGAAAGCATCCGCATAAAAGAAAGATGATGGGTATTGCTGAAGTGGTGTTGTCAGGTTGCTGCAGGGACAGAGGACTTTATTATCCTGCAGAAACTTTGAATCCTAGAGCCTATATTCCTAAAACTGTTCGGGAGGGAGCCTTGCTGGCAGCTAACTGATCAGACAGTTTCACTTTTCACTTCTCTGTAAAAGGGAATGGAATTTCTTTTGCTTAACAAAAAGAGGAGCTGATGAGACACAGCGTGATGATTTAGGGCTCAGCTCTGAAAGCTGTATGTTTCAAATGGAATCTTTTCTTAGCAAGGCTTGTGTGATCAGCCCTTTTCCCCCAAAGAAAACAATGTCAATTGAGAGAGATCCACTGAGGGAAATGAGTGAATTGTAGGAAAAAATCCTACAGGGAAGGTCATGGCTATTTATTTCTGACTGGGGCCCCAAGTAGTGACTTTGAATTAACATCTGTGATTGCTGTAGCGGTAGGATGACATTGATGCACAATAATGCAAAAACCACTTCATGGTGATGGGGGCTGTGAAGGAAATAACAGGTTTTTGACACAGAGAAAAATACAACATGTCTTTCTCTAGTGCTAAGGGGTCATTTGCATGTTCAAGGTGAATAGTGTTACGGGAGGGAATCAGGGCATCTGTTCAGTCTACAACTGCTGCTGTTAAGATTCGTGTTTCATAGATATTGAAGTCCTAATTTACTCTTGTTGATACATACAGCAGGTAGTTTGGGCTGGAGGGGAGAATATGTGTTAGAAACTGTCTTTTTTTTTTGCCTTTGCAGTGTACCTTTGAACAAGATTTCTGTTCAGTAGCACTAATTTCTCCATTAAACTAAAGCCCAGACTCTTCTGCTTTGCACACAAATAACTGAGTACCATGTGTTGTGCGGTGGGAGGTAGGGTAGAGGATGGAGTAGAAGTGTTAGAACAAGCCCAGCACAGTAGGTGGCAGAAAGCACAAGCACAGCAGCTAACTTGGCCTGCCTGAAGATGGTGGGAAATCTCCAGCTGGAACAGCTTTAATGATTATATGAGGTGTCTGGAAAGTTTTGCACAACGTGAACTTGATAGACTTCAGGACATATTGCAGAAGCCATTTATTTGACGGCTTGAGTAGCTGTTCTGCAAGGCTTTACAGGAAGAAATACAGGTTCTTCCTTCAGAGTTTTGATATGAGCTGGGATGAAGACTCGGGGGGAGTCTGGGTTTTCCACTGACTTTTAGTTTGTGTTAAACTGCCCTCCCTTTCAGAAGTTAGCTGACTTAGCTCTTGTGAGATATTACGAGCTATAGAACTTGGATTAGGAACACATCTTTTGGCCTAATGAAGAAAAGACATGAAAAGTTGGGCGAAAGTGATGAACTAAAGGCACTTTGTTTTCTTGACTGGTTGAGTTAATCCACTATTTATATGTGATTATGTTTTGCTGCTGGATGGTTATCACTGGTACCTGTGAGCCAAAGTATCTCTGGGGCACTCTGGAGTTCTTCATATGTGGATTTAATTATTTACGTGATTACCTCTTTTAAAGTGTTGTAGTTGCTTTCAGGGGTTGACACAGGTTTCTGCATGATGGGATGCTGTGCATTAGAAACCAATTTAAAAATGCCAGAATTCACAATGTTCAAAGCTTCTTGACTGTCAAGCAGGGGTTTTCACCGTTCCCGTGCAATTACTGCCCTTTTCCCTAAGTTTGAAAGCATCCTGTGGAAATGACTGCAACTAATATAGCTGTGATGTTGACCTAGAGAATTTGTGTTCATACTTACAAGCAGGCCAAGGGTAAGTTGTTGAATCCCAGACACATTTACACACATGCCCATATCTGTTTTGGGGAAAAAAGTAAAAGCTTGGGACTTTGTTTTTTGTTTTTTTTTCTTCCACGTGTGTTCAGTGTTTGCTTCTAAAGTCATTTTCGTAGTTCTGCGCTGCAGTTGTTCAGCAGTGGGCCTGTTAATGCATACAATGTGCCCTTCCAGCAAAGTCTTTAAGATGTTTTCACTGTAGCATACAGCTGCCTTGGAAAGGCTTAAACTGCACCAAAAAATTAAAGGATTTTTTCCAGTTCACCTGGAGGGGGAAAATGAGCATCGCTTTCTTGACAGGAGATGAAAGAAATAGAGAAAAAATATTTTTGGGCCACACATCAGAGCACTTATTTACAGTAGCTCTCATCATGGCATTTAACTTACCCTCTGTTGAATTTTCATTTTTCATGTGTCAGACACCTACAGCATAGAGCTTTACTGAGCAGAAAATGCAGTTTGTTCATACATTTTCAAAAATAAGATTCAGACGAATTGAAATGGGAAACAGCAACAAACATTTTTACACCTTTTTTTCGTTGTGAAAGAAACCGTTGTTTATTATAGTAAAATAACTTTTACTTCAAACCTCAGTCTTTGCATCAATCAAAGTTAGGCACTTATAAAAAATAATGAAAAAAGATTCAGCAATTTATTCTTCAAAGGATATTTTTGTTCTACACTCCATCTAGGTAAATGTGTCCCGCTTTACAGGTGAAGACATGCTTCGCATGCTTTACATGCGAAGATGTCTGATTCAAACATTTTATTGTCAGTATCTCTCATTGATTTCCTATGATTCCTTGTGCTGAAAGTTAAGCCAAGTTTACCTGCATCAGTGCAAGGCTTGGATCGTACAAGAGGTTGGACACAATATCTGCACCTAAGAAGTAATCATAGCTCAGGAGACCTGGCATCCAGTTGTCTGAGGAAATAAGTGGACACACCATAAAACTCTGATCGTTTTAAATGGGAGGATCTCCCGTGGACACAGATAAATCCACTGTAACTGGCCAGTTCACTTCTGACTCCTGTTAAATTCTGTATTATAAAAGCACAGTGATACTGTTTTCTTACTTTGCTGTCATGCAAACAATGGAGTGAATTTCAATGGAAAATACAAGCTTTGTTGTCCTAACCTGGGCGTACCTCTCTGTGGGAGTTGAAGTGACTGAGTCTCCCTCGTAGAGCTGCAGGCTGCTGTAAAATGTCATCTTACTGGGGAGCTGTTGCTGTTTTTCCTTCTGTTCTTTTATTTGGAAAATTCTCAATATTCCAGTGAGTCCTGGAGGCACAGACTTAGGATTTTGTAATAGAGAAAAAGAGGAATGCCTCTCAAGACTCAGCAAGAAGCTGAAGTGTTTCCGAGAGTCTCTATTTAAAGCAGTAGCAACTGCTAGTGTGAGGGGGTTTTTATGTATCTCAAAGCCTAGCTCTGTAGCTAGTAGTGTGTTGGTAAATAAAAGGAGTAGGTGAAATCATTTTGTGATGTATCTGGGAAGTGGGTAAAACTTCTGTGCCAGATTGAAGGTGGCTAAACTCCCTTGCCCTTGGCACAGCTCTGACAGCAGCACAAAGAGAGCTATAAGCAAGTTACTTCAGATTTTGAGTAGCAGAAGGAATTGGAGATTAGAGATGAGATTTTCTCTGGTTTGAGTGGAAGAGGGAGGGGATTCTCCCTTCACAGGCATCCGGTGTAGCCCACCATTGCTAGTCAATCCCAAGGGTGTTGAATGGGACAAGCTATTAAGAGAAACACTCAAGATGGAGATAAACTTGACTAACTACAGACTTCCATAGCCGATCCAGTCATACTGACCCTTTTAAAGGTCAGTGAAGAGAAACAGGCACTTCTGCAGGGCAATCCTTTTTCTTACCTCTTTTATATAGCCACTTTAGGATCAAGGGAATTATACCCTGGAAGTGTCTGTTCCTCCTCTTTGACTGTAGAACGAGTCTAGGTAACAGCTCAGACCAGATCTTTACAGTAAAGGAATCCACAACTCGGATAAAATCATCCCACCATCAGGCATTTGAACTAGGAAAGAGAAAGAGACTTCTTTGAAAAGTTTTTTCCGTTTTTGCAGAATATGGGATGGGGCTGAGATTGTATGTAGGCCTGGAGCTTGGTGCTGTTTTAATGGCATAATAGTGGCATAGATTCCTGCCAGCCTGATGAACACACTTGCTGGTAGGCAAGGATTCTTTTCAGACCTGTGGAAAAGGCTTGAACGTCCTTGGTTTATGCCACAGTTATGCTTCTGAAAGTTGTCACTTGTCACCTTCATGTTTTTAGCTGTAGTATTGATTTTGTTAAGAAATTCTCATTGTTCTGCCTCCAAGAAACAAATGCAAGAGTGTTCCAAAGAATTCCTGTTATGTCTGAAAATGGAAGATTACAGAAAATCTGTTTTGGTAGCGGGTGATAGACGAACCCCAGCTTACTACAACGAGGAATCTCTGATAGATCGCTGGAGCTGGCCCTTAGACAAAGCATAGCTGGGACAGAGTTTTAATGACCAAATTTTTCTTCCAGAAGTGGCAGTGTGTGGAAGATGCCAGTGGAAAGCTCAAGCTACACAAGTGCAAGGGAATGGCGAACTTGGCAGCTGCAGGCAACAGCAAAGGCACCTCCAATATTTTGCCCAAGTATTACAACAGGAATAGTGAAGACTGCAATTGTGAAGAGAACGAATACAAGCTGAGCCACGTCGGACGGAGAAAGAAACTCTTCTCCAAGAAAAGTAAGCGAACCCACTGTATCTTCTGTCTCTGCCTTGGAAAACTGTTATGAGTTTGTTCGCTAACACACATAATTGTCCTGATTTTCATGGGCATTGAATTCTATCAGCATATTTACTGTGTATCTACCTATGAAACAGTGTGCCTCATATTGGACAATCAGATTTGAAAATATCTCTCTCTGTAGGAAGAGGAGTGTTTTGATCCAAAATAGGGTCCTATATTTATGTCTTTCAAAACTGCGAAATGCAGTACACACACTGAAGTGGCAAGTAGCACATCCTTACATAGGCCATGAAACATGAACAGTGTTTTACAGCAAATACTCCAATTTTCAGTAGGTACTGCAATGCTTGGAGCCGTTACTGCAGTAATTTAATAAGGATACGTGTGCTTTGTTACAAAAGCTGCTTGCTTCTAACATCCTTTCCTTGTGCTCAGTCAGCAGAGACAAGGCTGATTTTTAACCAGAGATCACATCCAAAGGGGATGACTGTTTCTAGTTTCCTTGGCACAGATCAGGTGCTTTTTCAGAAAGCCCATACCACTAGCTCTGTATTAAACCTTAGTCAGTCTAACATCTATATTTGAAGTACATAGTCTAATTATAGATTAAAGAGGCAAACGGCAGCACAGAATTATTATTCACTTGTAATGTTTCTTTCGTCTCGCTCCACAAATACAGAGCCTTAATTATTTAGCAGATTAGTCTTTCTGTATAATGACCTGGCACAAGCTTCAAACAGAGAGTTTAAATTGATTTTCTCCCATTATATTTGCCTTGCAAGCTGATTAGTACCTCCTAAGCTAATTTTTAGTTGAAAAAAATTATTGGTTCCAGGATTAAATTACTCAACTATACTTGCTGTTTAAATATGTGGCAGAGCAGATAATCTTTAAATAACACTAGAACTTGCAGTTCAATTAACCTTTTTTTTTTTTTTTTTTTTTTAAGTCACGCTGGAGAAGGTTCAGTCATGGGGAGTCAAATAACAGTAGATCGAAGGCACTTAAATAAGGAGAGGAAAACAATTTAAGCAAGGGCAACATAATGCTATCTGATAATACTTAACACTTACTTAAGTACTTTTCATCTGTGTCATGCTGCCTAAACATTAACTAATTTTCACAACATTCAAGAGTGGCAGTTAAGTGTATAATTACCTTTAGTTTATGTATGAAGGAGGTTGAGGTAAAAAAAGTGAATGTTGCTCCCTCTAGCAGAGGGATCAGAATGGTGTTTTTTTCCCTATGTTCTTCTCAGAAGAGGCAGAGTTTGTACTATACCCTTCAGCTCACTTGCCTCATTGAACCATACGGCATAAACTTTAGCAGCATAAGATAGGATCTTGACAATCATGTTTTCATTGCTTGTGTCTTGAGTAAAAGAATTGACTCCACAGATGCTTTGCTTTTCCCTCTGCCCACATCCAGGGTGTGCCATACAGTGGAAGAGGTTAGCTTGGACCTATTGATGTAGACTCTTTGATTTGGTGTTGGCTGTTCTTTTACATGCACGTATCTAATAAATCCCACGCTGAATGCAAATGAGCACAAAGCGATAGAAGTCAAGGTAACATACCAAGGTTTTTCTAAACAGCTTACCTAGAAAGCTGGCTCACTGGATTGTGAATGGGAAGAGGGTGACCTGAATACTGATGATGTGTATTTGGATTTTTATGAGCTGTTTCATGAGACTTGGGATAAAGTGCAGTCTGTGCTGGGTTGCATAGTTCTGAGAGCATCTTTGGGGTCTGCTACTCAGAATTTGATGAGTGCATGGGGTCAGACTGCAGCCCTACTTGAATGCCAGTAAATGCTGTTCATCACATTGAACAACAGCTAAACAGAAACTAGAAGTTTCAAACTGGACTAGGGTCACGTCGACATTAATGCTTTTGTTCACAGCAATGGTGTAGTCTTGAAGGAAACACCCTGATGACTCCCTTCTATCACCCACAATAGAGATGGATTTGCAGAGGGCAATTTTGACGGGTTCTAATCTACAGTCGTTTGCAGAAAACTAAATTGGATGCCCTGCTTCTAGGGTGCATCAAGTGTGTTGCAAACCGTGATGGAGGTATGAGGATTGGTCTTTCAGAAAGATTAAAACCAGTCATGTGTAGTGAGAACATGTGGTCTAAAAGACCAGACTAAATAGCTGATAGAGGAGCTGGAGCACCAAACGTTTTGATAAAATAATTACTTTCTCATGTAGGCATGGTCTAGACCCGTTGTCAGGTGCACCAGTGCATTTAGCAGGCAACAATTGTTCTCTAAATTGAGTAAATTCAGTTGCAAAACAGGGTCATGTCATGTACATGCCATTTGGGCCATGTACAAATACACAACTCACCTGTAAAGCTTTTACACTCTAGAAACACATAAGCATTAATATTTGGTATATCTGGGCTTGGGTGTCAGGAATGTTTGTATTTCTGTGTCCTCTTTATTTTCTTTAGTATGTTTTTATTTTTATAAGAAAGATGAAACAAAGCTTTGCAGTAGGAGGAAAGTTTAAAGTAATAGTGAGCTCTTAAAATCTTTGGCTGTGTTGTGGTCTATTGTGTTTTTCTTGCTGTGGATTTGATCTCCTTTTCCTGTGATGAACAAGTGCATGTGATTAAAGGAGTTATTAAGCTGCATTTAGAGAAATGACGATAGGCCACACAGATTTGTAAACAACAAACAGAAGTGTGTACAAAGGGGCTAGTGCATTTTTATTCCAGTTTTCATGTCATTCTTTTTTCTTTTGAGATAGTCTCAATGCTGGAGCAAAATGACCTTCTTTGTTATTAAGAAAAAAAAAAACAAACCTGAACATCAGTAATTTTAAAGATAATGCATTTGAAGTAAAATTTTTAATGGCAGTTGTGAGAAACTGGATGTAGGAAAGTGTTTTGGGTTGTTTTTTTTTCCCTCTTTGAAATACCTAAGGACACAGATTCAAAATCAGGTTTCTAGAAATCCCTAGGTACATAATGCCCAAGAAAAAACATCTCTAAACCCTTATCCCTATTTCTAGACACTTGGAAGTCAAATTTTTGAATCTCAAGTGTCTAATTTTACTTTGGTGTTATAGGAAAAAAAATATGCTGCTTCTCTCCAAAATTCTGGAAGATATAGAGACATTACTGGGAAATGTCAAGCAGGAATTCATGAAGCCAGTGGTGGGTATTTTCCTCGTGGCACATGTAGAAGCAGAATCCTTGCATACTGGCTTATTCTATTGTCATTGTGGTGATGGAAAATACATCAGATCAAAAATACCAATGTAGAGTAAGTGTCAGCAGGGAAGACCAAGAGTTCTTTGTCTTCTGCAATGTTCCCACTGAGCAGTCATGCCCCTGCTTCGGGGAAAATGCCGTACAGTAGTTACAGTTGGTTACAGTCTTCTCAGTTATCCCTGAGAGAACTGTCATTTCCAAATGATCTCAGTGTTAAATCATTAATTTGGTGGTTGCAAAATAAGTAATAAGGCTTGAGTGATGAGGATGTGAGGGAAGTTAAATATGAACTCAAAGGCTGGGCATGTTTATGTCAGATACAAAGTTTATGGTTTTATAATACAACATTGCCTTGCTTTATTCAGTTGAATAATAATTTTGGATACCGCAGTTCATGCTTTCGCTAGGCAGTGTTGAAACCTGAGATGCTACCAAAAAATAGTTGTAAAAAATCAGGTGTGTTTGAGTCTCTAGACTGTCTGGGGAAATCTGGACCAGAAGAGTGTACTTCCTTTCAGGCTCCAATGAAGACAAGCATGCTTGTCAAGCGGCCCAGGAAGACACAGCTGCATGAGTCGGGCACTGAAACGTAGTTAGCTTTCTTAGGCTTAAATTTCTCTGGGCTCCATCTCCAGACTCAATTCTGAGGACGCAACTTGTCAGCAGTACCATCTGTAAGACAGCTGGCTTCTGTAAGACCAGAGGAAGAGAGGCATCGGGACTCATAGAACTTACCAAAGCCAAACTTGAATAACTTGAAGAAGGGAGTATAGGTGTTTTGGGCCAAATATTTAACAGCCCTAGATTTACTTTGTCTGTGGGTTGTGTACACAGGTAAATGAATTGGAGAGTAAAACTTAAACCTGGGGGAGGATCGACTAATAAGTAATTAGACATTGGTATTTATGCCTGCGGAGCACTTTGCAGGTGGGAGAGCACAGCACAGATGAATATTGATCCTATTAAATATTTTAACCACTTCCTCTGAAAATAATGGAGTTTGGTACTAATCACAGTGCTGAGTCAGCACTGTGGATAGTAAGTTGCGATCGAGCGATACAAGAAGTCCTTTATGAGCTGCCTCACTCCAGACCAATTTGTTCTTTGTAAGGCTGGGTTAGTTTGGCTGCAAGGGAAGAGTGACTCCTGGCTTCTAATTCTTCAGGGACGTGTGTAGACGACAGTTCCCTGCAGCTATCTGCTGAGGTCCCAACATGCTGGATTGGCATATTAGACTTGGAAGCAGGGTAAATTGTTAGTTGGCTGAGCTTAACAAGATGAAATGAGAGAACAATTAAAGAAATGGGAGTTTATACTTTGAATATAACTGTTAGGGTGCAGCTTTTTGGAACTTCCTCCTACTTCTGAAAAGATGGGAGTTTCCTTCTCATTTAGTCAAACATTTCCTGAATGGGTGCCTGAAATAGAGTTGGTCTTTTGGTTTGGGTTTTTTTTTCCCTTCGGCAGTGACTCACCTGGCTTAGTATCAGCAATAAACTTTGAACCGCAGGTGGAAAATGTGCAAAGCCAGACAATCCAGCTGGTATTCTACTTTCTGTGTGTGGCGCTGACAAGAACATAGTGCTTGGACCAGTTACAGGTGGGAGGAGATGTTTATTTCTCTTCCCGCAGTCTGCAAAGTGGCTTTTGAGATTTTGCAATCCGTTTAGAATTAATGTAGGACTTCTTGAAAAAAGTCACTCTGCGTTAATGCCAAAGCATGCCAGTTGACATGAATATTTGTCAATTTTGGTTGTTCTACCTCCCATTCCTTTTTTTTTCCCCTGCTTGTTTTGCTGTGAGATTATCCCATAGAGAAAGTTGTTTTTTCTGTGGAGCTTGGGATTGCAAGAAAGATTGGTCTTCGCATTTGGCACATTGGTTGAGTTTTCCCCTTACCAGATTGCAGAAGGAAGTCCCGTTCTTGTGAGATGCGCTGTGTGTTTCAGCTCTGTGTAAAGGAGAGGTGACCAGAGGAGCCAAGGGACTCGATTGTTTCCAGTAGCGTCTTAGATGACTTCAAGCCTCACATACAGAGCAAAGACTCAGGCACTGGACAGGGAGGAGAAGAGAGGCTATGGTACTTAGGTTGTACTTTTTTCTCAAGGAATAAGATGATTATGCTTAGTGTCATGAGTGACTCTCAGCAGTCATTGGCAGTGAGCAGGAAATACAGTCAGAGATGGACCCCATCATACAGTAGGGAAGTTTAGATATGGATTTAGACTCCATAACTAGGATATATTTGTGCCATTCCAGACCAAACAGAAGAGGAGCTCTGGGGATTTGGGCCGGGACAGAGAACTTTGGAAAGCAGTAATGGTGAAAATATCAATGAGAATCTCATACTGCGTACTGACAATTCGTAGCAAATGTTTCATTTTGCCTTTGGGCTGCAAATGCAGAAGCAAGGTCTGAGGGGGTGCATAGCACTGGAGGGTGGCGCTTTGTGTAGAAACTCACTGACTGGTCTGCACATCAGTAAAATAATTGCAAAGAAAAGAATTAGATGTGGATAAAATTAAAGATTCAGATATTAATCCCTGTGGAAAAAATCAAGCATCTTACCTTGAAGAATGAGCACAGAATTGAGAAAAGGCTCAGGTTGAACACTGGGAATACTTGGGACAACTTCAGGGAAGTGTTGCGGGAATCCTAGCACTGGAACATTGTACTGTGGACAGTAGAAAACAATAGAGAACCAGTCTGTAAAGACGACCTAAAACCTTACTGTCGTGACCTGTCATGGTTAGTTTTTAAGGTCTTAGTGCCATCTAGTGACTCTTGGGGGGAAGAGCAGCGTCTCCTTGAACGAGCTGTTTGCTCTCAAAGTGATACTGGACAAGTACATTTTCTTTCCCCTCTGCCATCCTTGTGCATTTGCATTGTATCTGCCCTCTCTCTCATGCCTTAAGGTATCCATCTATCCATGCAAAAGGTAGTGAAGCAGCAGCTCTGAGGACAGCTGCAACAAACACCGTTTGTCATCCAGTTAATTCAAATTGTCACAGTATGGGCTGGGTTTTTTCTCCCAAGAACCACAAAGAGGACCAAATTGTAACATGCTGTTTCTCCCCCTCTTAATCCTTTTGCTTCCTTTTCCATGCAGAATACAAACCAAGCTATGTCCGGAATCGCTCTATCCGTTCTGTATCTGTTGAGCTGGATGGAGCCATTTATAACTTGGATTTAGAGGATGGATACCAACCAAGAAACATCACCAAGCGGCACAAGATGCATAGGGCTATTCTTCGTGAGGAGGAAGATAAAGACATGGGGGAATACAGTGGCACTGGTGGCATTGCAGAGTATACAGCCCCTAATCTAATAAAAGTGACTCACAGGTGGGTGCACGTGGTATATTTCTAAAAGCTTTTGCTGCTTAAGGGGCTGCTTTACATAAATGGGTGTGTTCACTTGTGATAAGTATATTGTGTCCATTTTGGATACCCAGTCTAGCTTCACTAAAATTCTTATTCTCATCTGTACAACAGCTTTTGGGTTTGTTTTAGTTTTGTCATGTACAGAGGGGCATGAAGCTACTGAAGAACTACAGCAGTGCTTTTATGTCTTCCGCACTTTGGAGACAGTCATCACTGATCAGTGCATGTTTCCAGTGAGGACAAGCAAAGCTGTTTGCAACAGTTGTGTGTATACCTATGTGAAACCAGGAGAGGCTCTACCTGGAGAAATCTCAGTGTGCAGCGGGTAACCTGGCCTGTCTGAAGACCAAAGGCTCTAACTGGAGTATGACCTAGTTTCGTGTCATTGGTTACTTTGTATTTCAAACACCAAATTAGTCCTAAGGGAGGAAGCTTTCTGTAGCCAGTGCTAGGAAAGGAAAATGTATATTATGAATGAAGTTGGATGGACCAGGAGCATTGGGAAATGGAACATACTGAGAGAGAGGTGAGGGAATTGGCTGGGCACTCTAATAGCTAAAAATCTTTTCCTCAGTGTGCAAGTCTAGGGACTGATGATGTATCTTCAACTGTACTTAATCAGTTTAGTCACCATTTCTGCTTGTGAATTATCAGGAAATCCTCCAATCATTATTGATTAGATGCATTAAATTGTTTAATGAGTAGCTGATGTAAACATGCATGAGCCAGTTAGCTGCTGTTGAAATCTGTGGTTTCCATTTGACTTCTGTTTATAGGGTGAGAGACTCGCTAATACGAGGAAACGTAGCTAGGTTGACATCAGAGAATTGTGCCCTCTTACCCCAGCTCTCGTGAATGTTCAGGACCCATAAATCACTATTTGTGCTTTTCTTCTGGAACAAGTTAAATTGATTTTTGCTGCCTTACTGGGTGAATCCCAAATCCATACAAGGAACTGTCAGGAAGGTTGTGCATAATTCATGAGGAGTCCCCCGGCTCACTTGCAGAAAAGAAGGCAGTGGGACAACATGCGTGAGGTGGTTAAAAGAAAATGGAGGAGTGTTGAAAATACTCAGCTTTAATTTAAACAAGTATTCAGAAATTACTACATGGTTTTTGTTGACCCCTAATAAACTTCTCAGGTAAATATGTCAAGTGTTTTTTGTTTGTTTTTGAAAGAATTTTAAAACCTGTATTGCATTAGAAGTTAGTGAAGTACTAACTTTAGAAGTACTTAAAATTGTCAGAGGGTATTTTGCCTTTGAAGTCAGGGAGATATCTTTGAAAAATTTTATCACTTTTGTAGAAAACAGCAAAATTTCTTTGTTTCTTCTTTATGCTGTAGTAATACATCTTATAAAGAAGTACTTTATCCTTGCCCCTACCCCTGTATCACTTAATTATGCATTGGGAAATTGCTTCTGAGTAATGGTTTCTGTGCTTGCTAGTTAGTAGAGATTATTTATGTAGACAGCCTAATGAATAAGCAAGAACTCTGTGCAGCACAATTTACATATAGAAATTAAGCAGTCAACAGGTTCTGCTTGACAGGAATATTCTCCTTGAATTTTTCTACTTCTGAAAAATTTCCATGGCAACTCAAACCCAAACTTCTTCCCTGGCTCATAGCACACTCTTCTTCTCTCGAATGAACATTGGTTTTTTTGAATTCTGCATGTCATTTCCAGTCTGGCTTCTCATCTGTCTTGGAGTTGTGTTATTAAAACCAGCTGTTTGCATTGCTCTGTATGTGTGTATCCACTGTAATAAACATTGTTTGCTTTCCCATGCCAAGGTGCTATATCCTGGAGAATGATACCGTTCAGTGTGACACAGATCTGTACAGGTCACTGCAAGCTTGGAAGGACCATAAACTTCATATTGACCATGAGGTCAGTGATGTTATCAGTCATGCATTTTCAGTGTGTGTTTTTTAGCGTGGTTTTCTGTGGGCTGATAGGATCATGCTGACTGTGTTTGTGTCTGTCTGCCTGTGGGTGTCTGTGTCCCTCCCTGGAACCTTTTGAACTTGCTGGCTGATTTCAGAATAGGTATTTCAGAGACAAATAAGTTATTACAAGTGTTTGAAGACAAGATGCTGAGTGGAGGAGAGAACTGCAACTGAAGCGACAGCTGAGAAATGTCGTAAGCCTTATGAGATAAATGAGAAACTTGTAAGTGTCCCCATCCTGGGAAAAATTTCATGTGGATCTCTTTCACATCTTATTAGCCCTGCTCCCCAATGTACCTCTCAAAAAGAGGCCTTCAGCTGTCAAACATAAGCCCAAGGAAAAATGAGCTTCATTAGCTTCAGTGCTTCTAGAATTATTTATTTTGCTTGCTCGTGTTTAACCCTTGCACTTCGCAATTGGATTTGTTTTCCTTAGGCTTGTGGATGTGAAGAACCTGGAGGTAATTTGCTTTATGAAATTTGCCTATAAAACTTAATCTGACATTTTTGTCGCTATATTGAAGAATATGAGCTCAAACCCTTCACACATGTTGTGTATGAAAGAGGCAGTCTTCTAAGGACCAGATAATGGTGGAACAAATGCCAAAGGGAAGCATAAAGGACCTCCTGTAATCTCTTACCAAATGACATGAATTCACAGCAAAGTCCTATGTAAGAACTTTTTGGTTGCCTTTTATGGTACAGATTGACATGTAGCAAGGCAGATAGATACTGAAAAGCTTACTAGCTCTGTTAGGATTAAAAAAGGGCAATTTCAATATCACCGTACTCTTCTAATTCTTTTTTCTTCAGAAAATGTAGGCTATATGGAGTGCCAAAGAAAATGAGAGCTTGCTTCTGTCCTGCTGTGTTTCTGATTTCGGGTCACAAGGCTGGATTCTTTGTGTATTTTTCTTGACCACTCTGTCCTGTCTGTGCTTCAGCAGCCATGTGCTTCCACTAGACTTAACGGTCACTGATGTTTAATGGTAGTTTTGCAGTGACTTGGTTGTTCACACTGGATTACTTTGTTTTTTCTGCTGTGTAAAGAACTGAGGTAGAAGCCCATAATACCCATCTGAGTGAAAATGGGTGACACTGTGTGTGAGCTAGACTGAACAAAAGCAGGAGTTTCATTTACTGAAGAAAAAAAAAAAGGCAGTTAAAAATAAACCATGTGGGTGGCACAATTAACTGCTAATCCATATCCCATGTGGCCAGACGTTGCTGAAAACTGCCATGCAAAATGACGGAGCCTTGCTGCTTTTCTTTTTCAGAAGCTCTGAAGAGGGGACTTCAGAGCACTCCCTCCCCATACCCTTCTCAGGTTCATAACAGGCTGAAATTTAAGAGCTTAATTTTCCTTTGAGTAACCTTTCTCCTCTTGCAAATGTGCTGTAGAGCACAAGAGGAAAAATCACAATGGAACCGGGAGTGGTTGTCTACCTGAGGCCGTGCCCCCCATTCCCCCAGTGCCATGTTCCACTTTCACATTCAGTAATCAAAGGAGGCAAGCTACCAGGGAGGTTTCCTCCTGCTGTAGTTTCCTTCTGGAAAGGTAGATAATCTGAAAATGCTTGTTAGTGGTGGTACTCGTGGGAGGTGGTGAAAAGGAAGCATTTGGTGACAATAGAATGGGTTTGAGAAGGTTAGAATAAAATCATGCTCTATTTCTTTAACCTGTATCTTTACTTTTTTTAGATTGAAACTTTGCAAAATAAAATAAAAAACCTGAGGGAGGTGAGAGGTCATCTGAAGAAGAAGCGACCTGAAGAGTGTGATTGTAACAAGATAAGGTATTTCTTGTGTACTTCAGAGCAATTATTTGTAGTGTGCAACTGTAGCTGATTTATGTCTTCACGGGAGAGATCAGAATCTGTTGTGTTAAGTGGTTGCCTACTTACTATGCTCTTGTATAACGCTTTCTGGGGGAGTTGGACCGCTACAGAAGTACAAGGCCCACCCTCTGCCAGGCAGGAGTTTAATTGCCTCTGTGTCGAGTGGTGATGATGTAACAGGACGTGTAACATGGCTTATAAATCAGTTAGTTATGCTCTTGCACTGAAGATGCTGCTATTAGATACCAGAGATTAATATTTTAGGCTGCAGGCTTTTTTCTGAAAACTTGTTTTCCACCAGGGCAAATTCTCAATATAGTGCAGTGTTACACAAATCTGTTTTAAAAAGAATAGCGTGTGAAGGAACAATAGGGTGGGGAGATGAGAGAATTTCTGCCCATTCAATTTCTTCAAGGCTGGCTGTATTATCTCACAGGATGCAACCACTGCAATATTTCGCAGTTATGCCAGGTGGGAGAAGCAGAAATTTAAGAGTTGGTGCAGACTAACTGTATTTTTGTAACCACCACTGACTTAGCGCACCAGATCTTTTTGTTCCCTAGTGCAGATGAGTTGTGAATTTTTAAGTGCAACAGGCAATACTAAAATAGTGATTATGCATTAAGGTCTCTGCATAGTTGGTTTCTCATATAGCCAAATATTTGCAAAATGCCCACCGATCGCATGGAAAGAAGGTTCAAGCACACCTGAATCCTTCTGGGGAGCAAGCAAGCTCTTGCTCTGCAAATGAGCACGGCAGAAAATCTTTCAAAATCAAATGTTAACCCAAACAGAATTTGCCCCTGAGAAAGCTGTTCAGAAAGAAACCAGGAGCGTAGTGATGATAGTGATCACAGAGCAATCTCGGAGGCTGCTGTGAGCCAGATGTCCCCAGGAGTACGGCAGCCACAGTGGCAGTAGCGGTACAAGTATCACAAAAAAAGCTGTACTTGAATGTACTCAGAAACACAAGGCAGCCATGCTATTATCGGTGGCTAAAGCAGCTTTAACTAAGTAGCCTCTATGAGAGGGTATGGACAATACTGCTCTGTGTCATTGGTATAACGGGATGCGTTTTTGAGCGTAACACTTAAATCCTTGGAGGCGCAACATAGTCTAAGGACACGAGGTACACAGTTGTCATGGCCCATGTGGATTCTGCAATATAGCTCCAGCAACAGGTAACTAAAATACAGAGAACATCAATTTCTTGGGTTATGTCAACCCACACGTGGAACCCATGGCAAAAAGTGTTTAAAATTAAATCGGTATCATTCTAAACGGCAAATCCCCAAGAAGTTTATATTGTTTTATAATCCACTGCTTTCAAAACTGATGTTAACAACTGAGTTTGTTTAATATATACTGTAACGATTAAGTAATTTTTATTAGCGAGTGTTTTATAGTAAATGTAAAGAATGTTATATTTTTCAGGCCCAATATAGGAAGCACTTACATTTTTGCATAGCATTATTCAGATGAATAATCCCACTGAAATCAATGAAGTTAATCATTTGAGTTATATGTGTTTAAGTGTTTGCAGAACTGCATTGAATTAGGATTTAGCATTTAGGATTAGTTAATGAAATACCCAGTGTCTGTGCAAGATAAAAAAATTGAAGATAGATAGTTCTTTCTTTAATAATTTTATTTTGTTAATTTGCTATAAGGATTAAATTTATTAAAGCTCCCAGTAGCATTAAAAGATTTCTTTTGTTTTGAAGGGAATTTTATTCTGACATCTAACAATTTTGATGTACTGCTTAGAAAATAACATGTATTGAACTTAGTTTGTCTTTGCTGATTTGTGTGGGTAGTAACTTTATCAGTCATAAAACATTGCCATTCACTAAGGCTGTTTTGACTCTCTTAACTCTGCAAACTACACGGAAAGGAAATTTCTGCAAAGGCTTGTAAGAGTTTCTAGAGACAGAGCCAAAACAGTAGAGCTGCCCAGCTAGAACGTGTACGTCTGCTTACACCCTCCATATCTCAGAATATATTAGACACGGCTACTGCTGGGACAGTTCCATCCATCTTGTTAAAGTCTTCCTGGAACTTCTAGCTAGTAACAATGGAGAAAAAAAAAACCCAACCCTGCAAAGTACAACTGGTATTTAAATTCTTTCATTCGGAAGGAAACCGACAGGATGGTGGTACATGCTTGTCATCTTACCATCTGAACAAATCAGTGACTATTCAGTTGAAGAAATGTTGTAATTGAATTATAAGTCTGTTGATTTTATCTGCCCCGTGTCGGGGAAACAAGAAACGATGACAACTAGCACTGAAAAGTGTAGCTGGAATCATCTGTGGCTACATATTGCAATACAGTGTTAGAGCACCAGATGTCACTGTGCACAAATGATCGAAGGAGAAAGAAAGGGGCACAACAAGGCCCAGAAGTGCCTGGTGCAATCTAGCAAGGCTGCTTTGTATTCACCGCATACACGAATAAATTGAAGGGAGAAGTGACACTGGATTAAACTGCTTCAAATCCAGTACGGAAGTGTGGTATGAACAGGAGCAATTGTCTTTCTGTTGTTCATCAACAATGCTGTTTTTATTTTCCAGTTACCATTCAAAACACAAAAGCAAACTGAGGCACAAGGGATCTAGTCTTCATCCTTTCAAGTAAGTGAAGGACCGTTCCTCTGAAAGAGGAAATGCAAAGACGTTAACGTTTGGTCCATGCACACCAGTTACAAGCTAAGCAAACGGTAGCAGTATTTCATTTATCCTCTATTAAGAAGAATAAACACACAGACACCTGGGCAAGGAACTAAGCCCACGTTGAAATGCTTGTAAATTCGAGATAAGGTTCCTGGTTTGGGAAATGTCACGTCACAGACTTCAGGCAAGCCCAGAAACCCCTTTGGCTTCTTTTTTTTTTTTTTTTCCCCCAGTGACATTGAATTGCAAAGAGTTATATTCAGACACATTTAGAAGAGAAGCCATTTAATTAAAAAGTACCAGTTATTTCTTTCCCTCAAGGTAGCTTAATTTATTAGCTGCTTCATTTTTTTTAGGTGTGTTCAAGTATAACAAAGTCTGCATGACTCTGATGTTTCATGTGTGCAGGAAAGCCCTACAGGAGAAAGACAGGCTGTGGCTGCTTCGAGAGCAAAGACGAAAGAAGAAGCTGCGCAAACTGCTTAAGAGAATAAAAAATAACGACACATGCAGCATGCCTGGTCTGACCTGCTTCACCCATGACAACCAACACTGGCAAACGGCTCCCCTGTGGACACGTAAGGATACTTTAAACTAAGTAATAGGTAGGCGGGTACTGGCTGGGCTAGGATTCTGGGTTACTAGAAGTTACCAATATCAATAGTTACGTAGCCAAAGCTACGCAGCCTTCCTCATACTAAATAATCTCTGTTTCAGTGTTGGCGTTATCCTTGCACAAAAGGCAAGGGAGTTAAAAACAAAACCAGCTGAAAATAAAACCCTACAGCTATTGTGTACAGTACAATTATGTGTAGTATCTCACCATCTGGAATGTTTCCCAGCCAGAGAAGACAGGGAAAGCAACTAGCCAAGACGTTGCTTAAATTAGCCATGCCATGTGGGTTAGGTATGCATAGAACAAGCTGATGCTGGAAGGGGCATTCTCTGCTTTGGAGCTCAGGAGTCAGACAGAGTAACTGTCTATGAATAAAGTAATACCGTAAACAGAAAGTAATGAACAGTGCTAAAGACAGCAGCGCGTAGCTTATGTCTTTATGACTCTTCAATTTGCAGTGGGCCCTTTCTGTGCCTGTACCAGTGCCAACAACAACACGTACTGGTGTCTGAGGACTATCAACGAGACCCACAACTTCCTGTTTTGTGAATTTGCTACTGGATTTTTGGAGTATTTTGATCTCAATACCGATCCGTATCAGGTATCTGATCATAGAACAGCTCTAGAAATACATCATTGTTCCTTATTGATGATAAATTGAAGTGGTGCAGGATGTAGATAAGGCCTAAATCATTTAATGCAGTATGATTTGGCTTCTTTCCTGTTACAAATAAACCGCATGTATTCCATATATGAAAGTTACCAAACTACAGAGCAGTAGCTCCTAACAAGAGTCCCTGTTCGTTGCAGCTAATTAATGCAGTGAATACACTAGACAGAGACGTTCTCAATCAACTGCACGTCCAGCTCATGGAACTAAGGAGCTGCAAAGGGTATAAGCAATGCAATCCAAGAACTAGGAACATGGATCTGGGTGAGTGCCTCTCCTAGTTACACTCAAAAGCTCCCCAAAAGAAATGGGGCTCTTTCTTACCGTTATGAAACTTTTATCAGTCAAAGCATTTTAGTGTTTGTTTATACTAGTAATGTCCTGCTGAGGCTGATGGCTGCATACTCAAATTTTCGTATTTGTTCAATTTGTGTTATGTAATGTTACTTAAATGAAGAATGATACTTAAAAGAGTATAGTGAGGAGTAATGCTGATATGCAGGGGAAGGAGATGAGGGAGGAACGAAACTGGTGGAAGAGGGAAAGAATACCCGAGTAGCCACTGCCAAGCTCATAGGACAACTCAAGTTGGAAGGGACTTCTGGAGGTCATCTACTCCAAACTTCTGCTCGACGCAGGGTCAGCTGTGAGGTCAGACCAGCTTACTCAGGTTTTATCCAGTCGGATCTTGAAACCTCCAAGGATGGAGACTGCACAACCTCTCTGGGCAACTGGTTTAGCAGTTGAGTTTCAGCATTCCAACTGAAGGCATAATTTTTAGAAACATTTCTTTTGAGACAGTGCAGACCATGCAGCCTTGTGGTAAACCGACTTAAAAATAACCTTAACTTCAAAAAGGATGTTAGTGCTTAAGCTGATCAGTTTTCCCCCACCTGTGTTACCGCAAGGTAGTTGTGAAATAACAGCACATCTAAGAAGGGATGCATTTTGCTACTGAAGGATGGGCTCTTGTAACGATGGATTTCAATTCCAAAAAGCAAAAAAGCTTGAAGACCCCCACCCCAAAAATACTGTTATCTACCCGAGTCCCCTAAAGCCCAAAATACTATTTTGGGTCTTATTTAGTACATGCACCACACAGAGCTGTACATTTTGAAATCAACAGGTTTGGGCATTTAAATACACCACTGAAGGACATTTACAGAAAAGTTTCCAAGACATCTATCCCAATTTACAACCTATTTTACCTAGAATAAGGGGTTAAATGCAAAAATAACAGCACTAGTTAACACGTATGGCAATACATGTTAATCCGTTAATATTCTTAGGTCTTTTTTTAAATTGTGCCTTACCTGATGCCTTATTCTATTGCAGGCAATAGTTAGTAACGTTGTTAATTTTTCCTCATCTAGGACTTAAAGATGGAAGCTACGAGCAGTACAGGTACATTTTAAAAGAATAGTGAAAAAATTATTCTTAAGTAAGTATTACCTTCATGCTAAAGGAGTTAGAGTGTGGGATTGGGAACCACATGGACAGACACTGCCTGGAATGGCATTTGCAAGATCTTTTCCATCCCAGTTACTCTGAAATACTGGAGCTATTTCTGTTTCAATGTTTCAGCATGTTCTAATCTTTGTCATCAAAATTCAGCCTGAACTCTTCTCCTTCCTCATCTTTCAGACTGTAATGCTGGTGGTTTTCTTGGTGATGGTTAACTTTTTTCTCCTTTTGCTGCTTGAAAATTAGGCAGTTTCAGCGTCGAAAGTGGCCAGATGTGAAGAGACCATCATCTGCCAAGTCACTGTGAGTTGGGAGCAGTTCACGAAAAGCTTTTACTTGCCTTTCTTTCCTTCACTTCTCCTTTTGCATGCAGCACTAACATCATCATCTATTCTCATGGAATGCTTAAGTGGGAAGTCCTCTAAATTATTCAAGAAATCTGATACTGCCATCATTATAGACAACTACCGCTGTACAACACCTCTTGGTACATGTTTTCTGGAATCTAGGAGCATTAAGGTCAAGGCAGTTTCAAACTTGAGCAAAGGTGGATGCTCGGTTGAAGAAGCCAGTTACGGTTAACTGCCATTAAAAATTAGAGACCATTATGTCAGTTTTGTCTAAATTTAAACTTGTAGCAGCTACCTAGTGGTCTTTCACACCATCCAGAAAGAACAAAACTGATTGTAATTTCTCAGAGTAGAGAGTATTGTGTAGTTTCTTGCTCTTTACCCAACCACAGCCTCGTGTTGTGAACAGAAAGTAGACAAGACAGAGCTGTACATTTTGTTGTATTCTGACGTTATACTAAAATCTAATCGCTTTTTGCTTACTTAACTGCCCTTTAAAATGTAAGATACGTTGAGAACGTATTCAGTTCTCAACCTGCCAGAGCCCAAAGGTGAGATACAAATTTAAAGACACGAAAAATAGTTACCTTTGCCACGCCTCACTGTCTCTGAACCTCCTCTCAAAAAGAAGGTTGAGACTTCAGCTTATTAAAAATCAGAAGGTGCTCTCAAATTGTGCAGTGAAAAATACGTACAAGTACCTTAATAGGCAGAGTCTAGCATTCTCAACTCGCCCAAGAGGATTTGCTCCCTTTGTATTTCTAGTTGAAGAGATCCAAGACTGGCTTTAGAACCAAAATGAAGCTAGAATTAATGAGATACAAGTTTTGTACGGGTTGAAGTTTCAAATATCGTTGGATTGTTTCTGTGATACACCTGCTACATTTTTATAGGTGGTCCACAGTGTTTCAATTGTGTTTTCCTGCATGGAACCATGAAAATGATCTTTCTAACTACTTCCTCCTAGAATGTTATACACTAAATTGTGTTTGGTTTATTTTAAAGAGGACAACTGTGGGAAGGATGGGAGGGCTAACCTCCCCCAACCGCTGCACCTCCACGAGGATACAAACTGGCCAGAACTTGAATCCATGTACAGACTAAAGGAAAATGGGTATGACTTCAGAAAGAATTACAATGTTAGCCTGGAGGACTGGATAAGCTTTGAGGCTGAAATAGATAGAATGTTTGCACTGGGGAGTGAATTAAATAGACGCAGTGAAATTACGGGACATGCTGTCAGAAATACAGGTCTCTGAAATCCACTATTGTACCTGCTTTTTGCTTTGGATTATACCTCACCGGCTTCACCAGGCATTTTACTTCAAGATGACACCACTAACACTGATCCAGGAATTGACAGAAGAGTAAATACAGCCGCATCCCAAAGAGGATTGCCATCCCAGTGGGCAAAGTGTACACAAAGACAGCGGAAGTAATCTTAAAACTTTTTTCAGTTCAACTGTATCTTCAGATGTCATGAGAAAAGCTTCAAAGCCAAGTAGAACTCTAAAGCAAGGTTTAGAAAACATGGACGCTTTTGCTTCTAACTGGGGTAAAGGTGGAAAAGAAGTTCTAAGAGATTCAGGAGTTGAAGCGAGCAGCGTTGAATATTCTCAACACCACGATATTTCTCAAATTTCCTCTGAGGATCCATTTTAGTCCCACGTCTACTTGTCCATCCTATTGACACCTCTAGGAACGCTGGAGAAAATCTTGACTAACGGGACGCCAGGTTTTTGGAGGGGTTGTGTAAATATTGATCAATATACTGTTTGAAACTGAATTCCTTCAGGTTGTGAAGAATTTTGTTAATAAAAGGAGTGGAATGCCCACACACCATTTCTCAAAATGTTACTTAATGTTGCATAGCACATTTCAGAGTTTATCCATTTTTGAAAGTACTGAAAAATTTCAGTAAATGTACATCTTAAATTTTAATGAAATTGGATTTGTATGACTTTTTTTATGTGGTAATATTTTATTGTATGTTCAAAACCAAAACAATTCCTTTGAGAAAGCCGCATTTGCTTAGTAGTGTAACTTTTACATTTATTTTTAAAAAAGGCAGCTCCAAGAAGTTCAAGACTTGTAGCCAATAAAGAATAATCTAGTTATAGTTCCATCTACAAAAAAGTAGATGTTCTGAATGACAGTTACTGTTTAAAGGCTTTTAAAGGGAAAACCCCATCATTTTACGAAGGAAGCACAGTGTACAGAGCCTATTTGAGTATTTTCATAAAGACATTATTAAATACATTGCAGTACAGGCACTAGCGGTGATATTTGTATTTATAATTTTTTTCATGTTAACCTGCTACCTGTTTTCAAGGCACACGCAGGAGGGAGCTCCCGTGACAGACTCGACCAACTGTGGCCTTCACTCTTAACAAAGAGGTACTTTTTTTCAAAACACAAACTTGCACTTCTAGAAACACGGTGTAAAAATACATCACGGAAATTATTCTGATACCCTTCCTGGTTTTGCACGTTAGGAAATTGAAGTGGAATTACTTCACAAGGGATACAGATCTCTGGTACCACGCCCCCATACTCAAAAAATATACTTGAATTTAGGAACAGAGGAAAAAGAAAATGCTCAAGAAGTGGCAGTGGGGTCTTTCATTGTCTGTGCTATATAGTAAAACTAGGCCTGAGCTTGTATTTGTATCACGCGTAAGTCAAATACACTTCCCAAAATTTTCTTGCAAGTTTTTGTTAATTATGGAAGTATGGTATGATTGTCTGTCTTAATCTAGCCACAGATTTTGTTTATAACCTGTCACAGATTTCACGGACTATCAGAAACATCTGCTAGATGATGAGATCCTGGATCAATACAAATAAGTAAAAAATACTGAATTTAAACTCACCAATAGAAACACGTTTTTTCTGCTTTCCAGAGAAAAGTGTTAGCTGTCTACCATTCCCCCTGAGTACGCAGAAAGAATAGAATACCAGGTTAGATGAAAAAAAAAAAAATTGCACTTACCTTTTTTTGTGTTCAAGCCTATAGTCTTTGACAAAATGAGGGCGTGACTATCAAAATCCTGCACGGCCAGTGGTACCGCTCCTGGTACATGTCAGTCAGAAGCCTGAAAAGTTACCACGTCCCTTTACACAAAATACTGAGCTGTGGGACTCGTATGTGACCCAAAAAGCAGCTGTTATTTTATGAAAGGCGGGTTGTTGCCAAGTTACGGGGAAAGCTACCACCTCTTCTCCTCTCAGCTCTGCTAAAGACTGCTATTTAAGTTGAAAAAGACAGACATAAATTCCACTCAGTGTCAACGCAACTCTAGTTGCTAAATGGGGCTCACAGGTGGAAGGTCCAAGTTGTTACTCCCTTAGCTTTTACGGCCAAGTAGGAAAAACTTTCAATCATTTGCTATAATAGCTTTCCTCAGTAATAGCACTGGATTTTCTCTGACCTTTCCAGGATACAGTTATCAGCCTTAGAGTATTAGACAGCTAATACACTATGTCACCGAGTTCTGATTTTAAATAGAAACCTTTATTTACATTATTATTAACATCCAAACACAAAAATCAGAAGAGCAGTAATACCTTACAACCAACTCTTTTATAAATCAGTCCCCGTGATTTTTCTGTTTTGCAACATAAAGATATTTCAAGCAATACTTAATGTAAACTAAACTTAAATGCAATTCTCAATACTGTATGCCTTCTCCTGAGAATTTTTTAAAATATTGCTCTCAGAATTACATGGTTTCATACTTGCTGTATCATTCAGTCATCTGGTAGTCTGCACATAAATTCTGAAATAAAATGTGTGCTAATTGGTACAACGTTCAAATAGTTTTGTCTTATGACTGAAAAAATGGTCCTGGTTTTCTAACTTTAAAAGCAGTGTTTTAGGCCAAGATTGGAAAAAAATACTACCTAAGAATTTTATAAAAACATGGTTTCTGTGATCGAAAGAGTAAGAGAGACATGCAGCAAAACAACGGTCAGAGGTGGTTGTACTAGCCAATTGTTCTCTTACTGTTGACAAACGTTACACAGATTGTTTCTAAAAACATTCAGAAAAATCCGCTGCTATAGAACCAAAACAGAATTGGTGGAGATACTAAGTGTCAACAGATTTCAAGGTCAGTTTTATTTACTGCAATAGGTAAGATTTTCAAACTAGATGTAGTATTTAGGATCAGTGCTGCCAAGAAAGATGTCATCGATGCGTTTTAAAAGTGCCCCCCTGCCACCCTTTAATCAAGTTTAAACTAAAAATCTTTGGATTCAGCAAAAAAGTAGGTACTGGAAAGCTCCAACATTCTAAAGACAGATGAGAAAATGATGATCCTTTATAACATCAGCCAGGTACCAGTTATACACAGATGTATAAATAGAATCACTCATTTTAAAAAAAATGAAAAGGGCACGATGTATAAGGTAGTATACAGTCTAAGAGCTCACCTAATGAAAGCAACCAGGGTTTGTAGTTTCCATCAATATAATGAACAACTACAAAATACAAAGATTGTTCTACTCTCATTTGATATTAAAAGCAAGGGATCGTTGCCTTTCAACTTCAGTAGGCAGCACTTACTCAACAAAGAGAGATGTTCTAAGAAATAGAAAAGTTCCTTATCCTTAGGCTTTTAAAAGTTTTGCATTAAAAAACACACATGAATTGGACTGAAGGTGTCAAATGAATACTATCACCTAATCTATACGCTCCGTACTAATTGCAGAGACAGGGCTGCATAAAGTAGGTCGACTGAATCTCCATTCCCTTTGGAACACAGCTGGCTGTACGCTAAGGATGAACTTCTGGAGAACATTTCTAGTTAAAGTTACTTCTATTAAAATGGAAGAACACTGAATATTCTGAACAATAAGACCACCTCTTGCCTACAGTACCAAGAAGAAGCAATCAAGAACACAGATTCTTTCTTTTTTTTTACTCACTTGGGAGAAGTCAGTTTTCCATTACACAGTGAACAACAGAACAAAAGCACCACACATCTTAAACATTGCTGGGTCGTCCCTTGTGGAAGTTTAGAGGTTTGACTCATCGTAACTGCCCCACACTGGAAAAACTGCAAAGGGATCTTCATTTCAAGGAACCAAAATAGAGGGTGGGGGGGGGACCTATCAGCAAATAATAAATTTGTAACCAGACTTAATACTGATATGAGAGAAACCTGCTTAGAAAATACATTCATTGCTATTAGAACAATCCAGTGAGGTGCAGACATTTGGTTAAAGTGTGGCTTAATATCCTTAAAGATCTCTGGATGTCATGTAACAACAAATATTTTGCAACAGACAAACTTTTTGAGGAACACTTAGAGTTCATTAAAATTGACCAAAAAAAGACACAATCCAGATTCATCAACTGAAAAGGCAACATATTATAGACAGACACAACCGTCATGACAAGTCGCTAACATCTTACAACGCAGAGCCTTTTTGTCAAATTGCCTTATGCAAAAAGAAAGGTAACAAAGTGCTCACAGGTGGAGAAAGCATTTAACAACTGGTCTTTTATAAAAAGCTATATGTTAAAGATGTAAAAATAAATGAAGTGTTGAAGACCAAAGAGGAGAAAGTATTTGGGCCAAAGTCACCCAGCTTCAAAGTCCTTAAATTTATTTAAAAAAAAAAAAAAAAAAAAAAAAAAAATCT